CTCTAAAATTTTGAGGAAAAAAGAAATGATATAACCCGGATATGACTGTATAAATTTTTTAAATACATATTCCTTAGAAATAATGTTAATCAAAAAATCCCTAGGTTTTTGGCAGCAATTTATGCAACGTTATGGCAATACGTAAACGTGAAATCTTGTAAATTAGTTTGCCATCATCTTTAATTTAAAATAACTTCCTTCACTCGCATTTCTAATTAACACATAAAAACATACCTATTATATACGAGACAATCCAAAATATAGCAGAGCTTCCAGGCTGCAATGGTGAAACTATAAAGTCTTATGTGGTTTATGACATTACCCTCTTCAACTTTAGTTTCCCATTTAAAGCACAGGTTATTTTGACAATCGAATTCATATTTAAATATATCATCATTTATAACCTGAGGTGAAGCAGGGCCTTTGAACTTAGCTCCAAGCTCAAGTGGAAACAATACATCTTCACTTTTTTCCAGGTATGCTGTAAGTATAAAATCTTTAGGGCTTTCTTGATAACAGTTAAAAATAGAAGTGTCTTCAGTTTGATCGAATAAGAATGTAAAAGCCTTTGTAGAATCGCAATAGGTTGGTGATAATTTTTTAGACCACACTATTTTATTCTTTTCATCACATGTTAACTAAATCAAGAACAGTTATTATTAAAATTATTATAAAATTTTATCTTAAAAACTAATTTACCTTAAGTTTTAAGCCAGAACTTAATTTATAGATAACAGCTTCGTATATTACCAAAGGAACAAATGAGTTCCACTTTTTGCAAACAGTTCGTAAAGCACAAAATTTCTCAAAACTATTGTTAATAATAATAAATAAATTTAATGGAATTAATTTTATCTACAGTACGTCAATTTCTTACTTTGTTTCAGTGACAACATATTTCAAGATTTGAATATGTAACTCGTTAGGAGGAATTTGAATCATTTTGAAATTTTGGTAAATGCAGTTCACTTGACTGTATTTGAATAAAGTTTGCTCGTGCATATCACATGATCATTATTACATTGCCAAAAACAGAAATATATTGAAATTTCCTTTTTCTTACAAATTGTTTCAGATACGTAAAAATTAGCCGAATTTTATTAAGGTTGTGATTTCGGCAGTGTCCAGCTATCAGAGTGTCCAGCTATTTCTAGCATCTAAAATAGCGCTATTTCTAGCAAATTGCTACAAATAACTAGCTACATTGTTATTGTGCTAAGATGCAATTTTTGCTATGCATGCAATAATTTTAAGACTTTTCTTTTGTTTGAAACAATTAGCGATTTTCAAATTTATAGATAACCGATATTTGAAATTTACTAATGGATAGATTTTCTTTTCAAAATGCCACGAAATCGTTCAATTTTAGATAAATATCCAAAATTCAAAGACGATTTTTATCAAAGTAAAGGAACAATTTATTGCACGTATTGTAAATGTGTTGTTGATCATAAAAAAAAACATAATTTAGATACTCATCTAAAAACTAATAAACATGAAAGAAAAAAAAATTGCCGAAATTGGTCAAGATTTGCCTGAACAGAAAAATTTAGTTACTTTACAAACTCAAATAACTAGCAAACAAGAGATTAATATCGACATCATTAAGGCTTTTACTAACGTGGATGTTTCTTTATAGAAAATTGAAAAATTAAAGCCATTCTTTAAAAAATATTGTATAGATAGTATTTATTAATGTTTTTATATCAATTTG